GGAGAACGAATTCTCCGTGGGACGGACGCTGAAGGTGGGCGGACGCTACACATACAGTGATCTGGACGATTTGATCTTCAACCACGTCAAGGCGATGACCAAGAAGGTGGATGAGATGATGTTGCATGAGAAGTACCAGGACGGCAACAAGGACGCCACCTGTAAGTCATTTTCTTTCTTAGTATTGTTTAGGGCTAGTTATGTTTGTGATGGTCACTAACGTCTTTTCTCTTTTTCTAGACTCTTGGTTGGAAACATACACCAAGGCCAACCCCCGGCGGTCGGCCTACGCTTTCTGCATCGACCCCAAACATGCGGGCTACTTCTTCCTGTGCTTCAAGGCGGGTGAGAAGGCGCCGCTGCACAGCTGGCCAGTGAAGGTGATCCCTCAAGGATATGAGCTGCAGCGCAACCCATACCCGGACATGCGGGCTCTGTGCAATGGCTTCAAGTTGTTGTTCACCAACATGCAGGCCGGCAAGCGGCGGTGATGGTGATGGTGATGGTGATGGTGCTGGTTTCTTTTCCTTTTCCTTTCCTTCTGTATACTGTGTGTAATATTCCTCGGGACGTTCTATCTCTTTTTTTATCTTTGATTGCTGGATGAGGTCGGGATTCTTGGTTTTTTCTCCTGTGTATTTTCTTGACTTCTATTCTTCCTCTACACCTCTCTCTCTTGCTCTTGGTCTCTCAGAAGACAGAGTGTTGATTTAGCATCCGCGTAGCATCTCATGGTTGCGGGTTCGAAACGATTAATTGCTGGGGACTGAAAGGAGAATTAAATATGAATTCATTGCATTGCATTTGGGATCAACCTTTACTGTCAGGGCTATAAAGTTAATATTCTTAGTAGATATATCTCCAGTATTGATTGCCCCTGACGCATTAATTTTCCGTGAAACTCCGAGGAATTCCAGAAAACGAGAGAATAAAAAAAGGTAAAGGGAAACTGGATGGATCCACCAGGAACCAGATCATCAGTAGCCGGAGATAGACTAGAGACTTACTATTGAGCTCAAGTCTCTGGCCTTTCATGTGAAGCGGTCACACAAGCTGCTCAACCCCTTCCAAGGTCAATTGTTTGGTTCAGTTGTCCCTCGGCCGGTCTTGGAGAGAGGAGAAGAGTGAAAGTGTTTAGGGTCCGGCTTCTCCGCACCTCCTCCTTCTTCTTCTCCTTCTCCTTGTCCTTACTTACCTCTACTTCAATTACTTCAACAACAACAACAACCACTACTACTACTTCTTACCGTCTTTCCCCTCCTCCTCCTCCTCCTCCTCCACCGCCCCTCCTTTTTACTTAAAATACCCGCATCTGTCGTCACTCCTTGACCCTTTATCCCACAGTTCACCTCTGGCCCGTGTCTCCTTATCCGATCGTTCCCGCAATCCAACGTGAGCCGGGCTGCTGCATGACTGGTAAGATCTGCTGCTTCTGCTTGCTTCTTGCCCTGCCTCGTGGCTGACGTACAGCTGAGCCTCAGCCTGATCCATCATTCCCTCCTTTTTGTTTCAGCTCCTTCGCCAGTCCTCCGACTTTTAAAAGATCCATCTCCCACTTGGTTTCGTTCCTCATCTTCTCAATTGCTCCCCTCCATTGTTGTCTTTCCCATCCCCACCCCACCTAAACAAGGGCCACTCGCGCAACAATGGCGGCCATGGAGGAGCTGGAGATCCACAGCAAGGTATGTTGACACTGAAGTAAGGGGGGCGGAGGGGGATGGATGCATGACACGCCGAATTGAATGATGGCATTGGACTAACTCCTGTCTCTGTTGTTGCCCCTCTCTAACAGTCCTACTTTGTCCGCTGGGTATCGGTCAAGCCCGCCCACACCATCTCCTGGAGCATCCAACCGCACAAGAAGTCCATCAACTTCGGCATCTTCAAGCATCCCGGCCATTCGGCCGTACTGGGCTCCAACACCAACTTACCTGCCACCGATTCCCCCAACGCCGATTCTAACGAGAACCTGCCCGCGACCGCTGGCGCTGCGGCCTCGCGACCCAATGCCTCCGTCATTGAGAAGCTGACAGGCATTGGCCTTAAGCAGATCCAATGGATCGGCAAATGCGAGGCCGAACGCATCTTCCGCGGCACCTACGACGTGCCCGCCAACGAAGGTGGGAACTACGCCCTGGTCTTTGACAATACCTTCTCCAAGCAACTCTCGAAAACCGTCACTCTCGCCCTGCTCACCTACCCATCCGCCCTCCCACCACAGTCGGCCCCCGTCCCTCATGCCTCCAGCCACCCTATACGGTCCGATACCGCTGAATCCGGAAAGTCCCTGGCTGCCCGCCGACGGGGCAACAGCGTCGCTCAGCCGCCGCCTCTCGCCAGCGACCCCGACTCGCTCAATACCTATACAGGCTTGCTCCAGAAGCGACGGCGAAAGCGCCATCAGGGCTGGGCGCGTCGCTTCTTCTCCCTCGACTATACCTCGTCGACCTTGTCTTACTACCACGATCGGAACTCTGCCGCGCTCCGCGGTTCCATCCCCTTGTCGCTGGCTGCGGTCGCATGCAACGAGAAGTCGCGCGAGATTTCTATCGACTCCGGCACCGAAGTCTGGCATCTTCGCGCCAACAATGACCAGGAGTTCGCCGCTTGGAAGCGGGCGCTGGAGCGGGCCTCCGCCCCGTCCTCCAAGACTCCTGCTACCGCCACCGACGAAACCGCCTTGCCGTCCGAACCCTTGTTACGCGTGCCCTCTCAGCGTGTCGCCCCGAATCCTGTCGAGGAGAGGGAATGGGAGCAGGTCGAGGGCCTTGTGAGCAAGGTATCCGGATCGCGCGATGCTGTCCGGCGCCTGGCCAAGGACACTGACCCCAAGTACCTGGGCGGCAATGTCGCGGAGAGACCCCGCGGTCGCTCGCCCAGCCCGCATCGCACGCCGACGGACTTGAATGGAGACGAATCTGGGGACGCCAAACGCCCGTTCTGGAAGCGCAAGAATAGTACGGCCACCCAGCCCGGTGTCAAGCGCACTACGACTATGGCCTCTATGTCCTCGCAGCTGGCTGTACCGGGCGCCTTTGACACTGCGTCCCTGGCGGGCGATCGCAAGCCCAGCAGTATCGCCAGCCCCCCGGATCCCATGGAGGAGGTTCATGAACATCTCATGGCCGTGTTGCGTGACCTGGACCAGGTCGTCAGCGAGTTCTCGACCCTCATCTCCGAAAGCAAGCAGCGACGACACCCTCCCGGCGCGACCGTGCAGGCGCGGCGCAGCTTCGAGTCTGATGTCTCCCAGGAGTTCTTCGATGCAGATGACGGTAAAGCACTTCTCACAATCAAGGGCGACAGCGACGACGAGGCAGCGGCCGACAACGCTTCCGACCACACTGTATGGGACTCGAAACCCAAGGTGGAAGAAGAACCCATGGTCAACGACGCTCCCTCTGACAGTGAAGACGAGGCCGACGAAGCGCCTGCTGGACACGATCAGTACTCGCCGCTCTTCCCCGGGCGCCCCAAGGCGCTCACGCCGCTCCCACTTAGCCCCGTGAAGCGTCGTGCCAACATCACGGCGCCGACAGTCATGCCGCCCAGTTTGATTGGTTTCCTTCGCAAGAATGTCGGCAAGGACTTGTCGCAGATCTCCATGCCTGTTTCCTCCAACGAGCCCCTGTCGCTGCTCCAGCGCGCCGCCGAAGTTATGGAGTATTCCACCCTGCTCGACCGCGCCGCCAGCGCCTCCGACCCCGTTGAACGCCTCATGTACGTGACCGCATTCGCCCTCTCTCCCATCTCCAGCAACCGGATCCGCGAGCGCGCCATTCGCAAACCGTTCAACCCCATGCTCGGCGAGACCTACGAGCTCGTCCGTGAAGACCTTGGCTTCCGCTTCATCGCTGAAAAGGTTTCGCATCGCCCTGTCCAACTTGCCTACCAAGCCGACAGCAAAGACTGGAGTCTTACGCAATCCCCCATGCCGACACAGAAATTCTGGGGTAAATCCGCCGAAATTATCACCGAAGGCAAGATGCGCCTGACCCTTCACACCACTGGCGAACACTTCAGCTGGGCCCAGGCCACTTCGTTCCTCCGTAACATCATCGCCGGCGAGAAATACGTCGAGCCCGTCGGTGAAATGGTCGTCGTCAACGAAACCACCGGCCACCGCTCCCTTTCCACCTTCAAAGCCGGCGGCATGTTCTCCGGCCGCAGCGAAGAAGTCAGCACCAAATCCACGGACCCCTCTGGACGTGACCTGCCCCTGGGTCTCACCGGCACCTGGACCTCCTCCCTCGACCTCACCAAGAACGGCAACCCCTCGGGAACCATTTGGAGCGCCGGGCCTCTGGTCCCGAACGCGCCCAAACACTACGGTCTCACGGCCTTCGCGGCGACCTTGAACGAGATCACTCCCATCGAGGACGGCAAACTCCCCGTCACAGACTCACGACTCCGTCCGGACCAGCGCGCTCTCGAAGACGGCGACGTCGACCAAGCCGAGGCAGTAAAGGTCCAATTGGAAGAGGGCCAGCGCGCCCGTCGTCGCGAGATGGAAGCCGCAGGCGAATCCTGGACACCGCGGTGGTTCGCTCCCGTAGATGAGGCACCGGGAGATGAATCCGTGTGGCGACTGAAGTCTGGAAAGGAAGGATACTGGGAGGAACGGAGTAAGGGCGCCTGGACAGGCGTGGTGCCAGTTTTTACGAAGTAATTGTGTTAGCGCTTTTATCTTACGAGTGCATGTGGTTGTAAGGTCTATTTTTATCTTATATGTGATGGGAATACTATCAGTGAAGTATCGCGGGAGTGTGTTGGTGAGTGGTTTACTATAGAGGATATAAGGGGGAAAGGTAGTGGGATTCCACTCAATTTATAACATTCTCGGTGTACACTTATCTATCTGATTACTTATTCTATATTTATCTGCTGCCTCATTCAATGTGCGTGTAGTAATGAGATGGGATACATTCTTGTTCTTATTCATGTATTTACTATTGACATATACGTAGTAACAGTGCCAAATTGGGCCTTACTATTGATGCCGTTATGGATCTAGATACAGTTATGTATTGAATAGTGAACAGTAACGTACTTAGTTAGCATTATGTACACTAGTTAACTGGAACTATCATATAGCAATAATTAATAACTGCAAATAATTCCTATACATAGTTATAGACAAGTATGTATGGACGGAATGTATGCTTTTATTCGTTTCTATCACACTGCGAGATACCTGCGGGCAAGTGATATCCGCGTCTGTTTCTGTGTTCTAGAAACGGGGTACAAAGTCAAAATGCATAATAACAGGGAAGAAATCACAAAACACCCGCTGCAATAAATCTAACGCAACAGGGAATCAAGCTTTAAAAACCCAGTAAAACAAATGATGAATGTGTCACATGGCTCTCTAATCCTCGTCCGAGGCCTCGTGGACCGCCCACCGACGACTATCCCGATGTTTGGCCGTGCGCTTGGCATACCCTCGGTCCGACGGCGTGTCCATGCGCATGATCACCGGAAGGCTTTCCAGCACGGCGCGGTTGCCTTGGTAGTAGTGCGCCGCGAAGCCGCCCTGCAGGGTGCGTCGAAGCGAGCTCAGCCGCGTCCATTTCCACCAGCGATCGATGTTCATCACGCCCTGTCGGCCGATTTTGACCGTCAGCTTGCTGCCGTAGTGGCGGTTGGTGTCTTGGTCGATAGCGGTGTTGTACATGGGTCCCCGTCGGGGATTCTCCACCGTCGTTAGGATAGAGGCGAAGTTGCTGTGTAGACTCTTCTTATCGCGCTTGCTGATCCGTTTGCTGTGGACTTTAGCAAGCGAATGCAGTTGCTGTTCAAGCTCGTGCGTGTTGTGGTAGGCGTTGTAGCGCTTGATCAACTTGGGGCCGTTGCCGCGACCTCCAGACAGGAATGTTTCCTCTTCCGATTCTTCTTCCTCGTCCTCCTCGTCCTCATCGTCCTCCTGTGGGGTGTAACTCTTCTCGTACAAGAGCGCGATGTTCTCGCCGGCAGCAATTTGGACCGCTGAATCACCACTGTTCAGCTGGTCCATGAAGATCTGCACGGCGTCCTCGCTTTCGCCTTCAAGATCGTCGATATAGGTCGCGAGCACGCCCCATTCTTGCAGGGCAGCAACAACACTGGCCGCGTCGTCCCCGGCACCGATCGACTGCCCGTCGGAGGCAGCGATGTCCAAGAAGAACGTCATCTGGTCGAGGATCCCATCTTCGCTAGCGCCTGCATGGATGGTGCAGACGCCCAGACAGTGAATCGCCGCTGCCTTGACCGTGTTGGAGGTTGAATCTCGCACGGTGCGGGTAAGCAGGGGCTCGACATGCTCGTAGATCGTATTGTCGTAGGCTGAGATGGCGAGGAGCTCAACGGCACGAAGCGCCAGGGTCGTTTCGCGCACACTGGTCTCGAACTTGATACTGCGGTTGAATGCCGCTACCAAGTCGAGAACGCGACCGCGAATCTGTTCCTCGACATAGTGATACTTAGCCAGTCGGCAGAACGCAGCGTAGGCCTCTTCGCGACTCAGATTACTACTACGCTTGCGGTCCAGAATATCCTGGATGACATCTCCAAGCTCCTCAACCCAGTCATGGTTGTCCAGATCGGGGTTATCGGTTAGATCATCCAACGAGCCAATGCTGGGTCGTAAAACATGCATTAGTAACGGAGCACACAGAGGGAACGGACGACGATGACATCATTCCGTTGAGGGGGGGGAACCAAAAATAATTGAAGGGAAGGGAAAGCAGTGATCATGGAGTGCTCACCTCATGGCCGTATCGTCGCTGAGACTGTCAAGATCTTCCTCGTCCGATGCATATCGGCTCTGATTCTGAGAGGAGTGGCGGGAATTCTGGGTAGAGTTGGCGCGCGAAGTTCGTCGAGAGCCTTCGCGGGAAGCAGCTTTACGAGAGATGGTTTTGCCACTCTCCAACACTTGACGGCGCAGGTCCGGCATGATGAATACGCGCAATGTCGACCAGCTGGGTAGTGATTGCAAAGAGAAGATTGCTAAGTGGAAGAAGAATTTTCACGGGAGAAAATGCGGGATAATGTATCCGAGAATTTTTTCGCTATGAATAAGCCAAAGGGGAGACCGGAATGTAGAAACAAGTATGGACTTGTACTACGAGGAGCAAGGCAACACCAAGTGTAGCCGGCAGAAACCGGTCGGCTATACTGAGGGTATGGTAAAGGTAATGGTAGACAGTAGAAAGAGTGATTCTGAGACGAAGGACATGGTAAGGCTGGAACAAAGCAAGAGTGTTGGATGGAAAATCCCCAATGGGTGGATGAAGAGATGGAAGTCAAGAAGAAGGTAAGAAGAAGAGAGAGAGAGAGTGAAGGAATCCAGATAACACCAGAAAGAATAATAAGAATAAGAATAATAATTGTGCGGCAGCCAACTGGTCACGCCCCCTCCTGATCAACGCCACCCTCGCTCAGATCCCTGAATTGTTTTGTGTTACTCTTGCTTCTGCTTGGTTACTTTTGGTTTCTTATCTTCTGATCTCCTTTACTTGCATTCTTGCGTGAATCCCTTCTCCTCTTTGACTCTCTTTGGATCTACCAATAATCAGCCCTGTTATCGCCACGTGATGCGGGGTCTTGCTTATCAGCCCCAAAAAGGCAAAAGTTGAAGGCATCACAAGATGAAAGAATAGACAGAAGAGGATGGCGGTAATTAATTAGTCTCAAGTGAAACTTTACTACACACACCCATTATTGAGGCAGTAATGTTTGTCCATTTGCCGGGGTATCTATTCTCACGAGAATTACTATCGAACGATTCGAAAATGCCATATACAACCCTATAGTTGTTGTAGCACCAAATCCAGAATCCGACGAGCCTTGTCGCCCTCCAGATATTCTCTGCCCTCCTTGCCCCGATCTTCCTCATCTTCCTCATCTCCCACCTCCAGATCCACCTGTAAGCTGGCTTCGTAGGCTCCCATCACGGTCTCCTCGTCCACTCGGACTCCTCCATTGACAAGCACCCGAATGCACTGCGCCAACCGGGCAATCTCCCGACGCGTCTGTGGCGGGATATCATCGTTCTGACTCGAGTAGATAGAGCTCGACACCATCTCCTCCATGCGCGTGATTGACACATTCTCCGTTGTCGACGATGCAGCAGCCGCTCCGTCGGCGTGCTTAGAAATCCAGATGTATCCATTAACTCCCAAAATCACATCCACATCCCCACCCCCATTGGCTGTATTGATCGTCCAGACCTGTCTGCGCGACCGAACCACTCCACCAGCTCCCGCTGCACCTCCGGCTCCCGCTCCCGTAGCACTCGCTCCCGTAGTACCCTTGACCGACGAGCTGGACGCACCACTGCCACCCGTCCCCGTCACCGCAAGAAACACGCCGTTTCTCAGTTTACCATACTTCAGCGACCGGGTGTGCAGCGAGGCGCCTCCGTCCGAATGTACCGACTGGACTTCAGCAACGACGAGGTCACCCTCGCTGAAGAAGGTTCGGATTTGTAGTTCATCGGCGCTCGTTCGTCGACGCAAGATACCACCAGGCAAGTTGATAGCGGAGAGAGGAAGCTGTGCGAGAAGGGGAGCAGCGACATCAACCTTCCATCGGCGAGACTGCACCTCGACAATGCGCCCCACCACCAGGTCACCGATCTCAGGCGTATAGCGGGCGCGTAGGGGCTGGACGGAGAGCAGTTTGTTGGTTTTCTGAACCGTACCGGCGACAGTGGCAATGATGGAGGTGGATAGTGGGTTAGTGTACGTGCCGTGTCCTCTGCAGTCAAGTGTCAATCAATTGCGCCTTGAGCTGATATGGCAATTGGGCCAAACCAACCTCATCCATTGCGGGTCATCTGTTACGATCTCACCCGGTGTGAGCACTCCAGCACCAATGTTCGTTCCCTCCACTAAGCGAGGCCGCTTGCTAGGTCTTGTGGCATCTCCCGCTGCTAGATCGACTCCTCCATCTGAATCCACGGACATGGCATCGTCCTCCGAGTCGGAGTAAGGAACGTCGACATCCTCCACAACCGGAGGGAGAATTGTAATGGCCATAGTGTAGAGATATGCTTGCCGCTCCGAGATATACCACAATGGCCGAGCAGGCGATTCTATTGCGTTCTGATAGAGGGCGTTTGTGAAAATCAGAGTATTGGAGCTGCAGTCGTACAAGACTTTCGGCATGCCAAGCAAACCAGGCAAACCACTAGTGGAGCCGCACGTGAAGCCGCATTCCCAATCCGGGAGAATGGCAACACTAGCATTGTTATATTCCTACTTAATAGTCTACTTTGTATAACTATCTATCGGGTTTGATATAATGCCTTCACATCAGCTTTACAACATCTAGTTATAATGTTTCCGTAATTATTGTTGAGGTATATCACATCATAATAGCAGCGTGGGGAAGTGAGTAGTGAAGCCCCCGCTTTAACACATAGTACAGCAATGGATCAGATAAATACGCGGATATAGGAAATTCATGGTTGTAAACTGGGGATGGCCCCTTGGTAACACCCATAACGTGTAGCAGGCTTGTCCGCTCCCAGTATTGGAAATGGATCACTATCTGCCGTGATTCCGATGGGCAATGCAAACATGATTGGCAAAGAAGACGTGGGAAAGGAAAGTATGTATTGATACAAAAGGAAAAGACCCGGAATTGTCGATCGGCAGTCTCAGGCACCTACGCCCGAAGATCGCTTCGAAGGCCGTTTGGGGGTGGCATTCTCATCATCCTTCTTCTTCCGGTTTGAGCGGCTGCTACCACCCTTGGGCCGATAACCGGTATCTTCATCGCGCTTGCGTTTGCCCCTCGTACCTCCAGAGGTGGACGCAGTTTCCAGGATACTGTCATCATCATACACATCCTCCTCTTTGCGTGACTGGGCCGGAGCCCTCTTGGAAGTGCGTAGATTGGAGGGTCGAGAGCCGGACTTTTCCGAGGCGTTTTCGTTGTCCTGCAGGAATATTTGGGGCTGATTCTGGCGTAACCAATTGTGTACAGAGACGTGGCTCCGAAGAGCAGCCTCTCTCTCGCGTTCCGCTAGTGATGGCTTTTTGGGAACAACCTCAAGCTGCTCCAGGGCTTCGTCGTCGCCCAGTTTAGCATCCAGAGCCAGGCAATATTCGGTCTCGTATTCGGGAGTGAGAAACCCAAGTTCTTGCGCGGGATTCCAGTCGTCGGGGTTCTCTGGCTGCAAAGGCGCGGAATGGGGGAATGTCGAAAGAGTGCTGTACTGCATACGCGGTGCAAAGGCCTGTCCGCGCTTGACGTCCTCCTCCACCTCACGATAAGCATCGCTGGACAAACGTCCAGCAGCCAGTCTAGCCTTGGCTTCTTGTAAGACAGAGCTCGCTACGGCAGGGTCATTGTACGATTTCGGGATGTCTCGCTCGGGTGGTGGTAAGAAGGATGCATCTTCCGGCGCGCTCAGATCGTACCGCACACTTGGGGACACATGGAGACTGTCGTTGAATTCCAGGAGGACTTCTAGAAGCTGACTGCAGATTGATCAATTGTAAGCGACCGAGAAGCTATAGACGTAGGCGCGCAACATACTCATTCTGTGCCTGAATCCTCTTGGACAGATCCTCGATACGCAACCCTTCACGGATGAGAGACTCGCTCTCTCGCATCTGCAGCTCAAACTTGACCTTAAGCTTCGCGAACTTCTTCCTATATAGTAGATAGGTCGAATTAGCAACGCGCCGCCCCAGGCATTCAGGGGACCACACTCACTTGAATGATCGGTACGACTGCTTGGTAGGGGCGCCCCCGGGGGCATCCGGTAGACTTTCAGTCACGGATTGGGCATCATCAACGGTATGCGACATGATGACAAATGAACAAAGCAAGCAACGAGAAACTTGGATGGCGCCTCCAGTTGCAGAGTCGTGGGCGGGTGAAAGGGGCGGACAGGAGCGAAGGCTGAGTGAGGCTCGAGATGGCCGTGTTTGAGCCGGTCACGTTTAAGCGGTCCGCCGATCTGGAGGATTTGGTGTTGAGGCGGAGAGTTTCTGCCTGCCGTAAAAAAAAGTTTCCCTCCGCTATCAGTGATTGCCGCCGTGACTTCTTAAAGTGAAGGTTCTTTTTCCCTCCCATTGGCTTTGTTCGTCTATTTCTGTGAAGTATATTTTCTATTTCATATTACTTCACCTACTCCACCATGGCTGGCATAGGCGAGGAAAATCACAAGAAGCGCAAGCTTCCAGAGGTCTCCGAGATCGAGATCGACGTTTCTGCACCGGAACCTCCCTCAAAGAAGGCTCTGCGAAAGCTGAAGAAGAAGGCCGCAGAAGGCCCCTCGGATACCACTACGGAGAAGAAAACAGAGGGGGCCCCTGCGGATAATGACAACGCTGCCACTCAGAAGCGCTCCGAGTATGGCGTCTGGATCGGAAACCTGCCATTTTTCGCGACGAAAGATGACGTGCGCAAGTTCTTTACGACCAACTGCTCCTTTGCAGATACGACCATCACGAGAATTCACATGCCCAAGTCTGGTGATAAGCATGGAAAAGCCCAGAACAAAGGATTCGCTTACGTCGATTTCTCCACGCAGAAGGCCTCCCAGGAGGCAATGGGCCTCAGTGAACAGCTTCTCTCCGGACGTCGCGTGCTCATCAAAGATGCAAAGAATTTCTCTGGAAGGCCAGAGAAGCCTAAAGGAGAGGGTCAGAATGCAAGTTCGGGTGCAGCATCTGGAAATCCCCCGTCAAAGCGGATATTTGTCGGCAACCTCGGCTTCGACGCTACGAAGGAACTCATCGAAGAGCACTTTTCCCAATGCGGGACTATCGCAAACGTACATGTGGCCACATTCCAAGACTCCGGCAAATGCAAGGGTTATGCTTGGGTAGTGTTTGAGGATCTTGCAGCAGCCGAAGCAGCGGTGAAGGGCTACGTGCTGGTCAAGGAGGATGATGAAGAGGAAGAAGAGTCCGACGCCGAAAGCCGCAAAAGGTCTAAGAAGCCGCGACAGAAGAGAGTGTGGGTGAACAACCTGCTCGGTAGGCGGATGCGCATGGAATTTGCCGAAGATGCCACGACGCGCTATAAGAAGCGATTCGGTAAGGACGGCGAAGGCAAGAAGAACGATACCGCAGACATCAGCGAGGTTGGGCCTGCAGAGCACGATTCGACGGGTGAGCAGTCTCATCAGTCGCGACCGGGCAAGGCTAGGCAAGCAAAGCCGGAGTATACCAGATACGATCAAGATACTGTCCAGAAGCTCAGTGGGGCCATTGTTGAAGGTCAAGGAAAGAAGATCACTTTTGATTAAGGATGGTTCTGATGGTTCGCGCGCCTTGAACAACGTGTGCGCATTTCGGAACAAAATACACGAAGCCATCGTCCATGAAGAACCAAACCAGATCTCCTTGCTGGTGAAAAGACGGAGCCCTGCAATGCCCGGCTCTGTAATCTGGTCGATGTGAGGTCGTTGTCATAGTGAGTTGTGACATGAGTTGTTCCATCCTTGCATGGACTTCATGCCCCGTCGGTCGAGGATCAAGACGGCCGTGGACGGCGCTATAGAAGCATTGGGGATTTAAGTCCTCAGTACCTTGATACCCAACCGAGACTTTTTGTATACAATGTATGTAAGCCATGAAGCATTATAGTAACAAATGGACTGATTAGCCATTTCCTCCAGTTCGCATTGTAAATCCTGGCGCCGCGTATCACATCGAAGACGGAGACGTAGCATAGACCGGTCGGCTACTCAGTACTAGTACTGCTAGTAGAACCCTCTGATGTACTGGTACATGAACCATGCCCCTTCGTATTACCCCAGACTGGGTACAGATACACTAAGGCCGATGCTGCCAGGCGGCTTAGTCAGGGTAAACAGAACCAGGCAATGTGAGTGGACGGACAGAGTTAACGGGCGTCAATAGTAGTAATGCTCAGGATGTCGACATACCTAGACCTTGACTGGGGACCGGGAGTCTGTTTGGTTGAAAAGTATAATGTCAGAGGGGAACCATGTTTGCAGAAAATCAAGTGTCATATGGAGTTCTCAAAAGCAAAATGGAGGGGGGAGCTCTGATGGACGATCAGCTGGCGTTAAACAACTAAAAGTAGATAAACCGCAGTTCTAGAATCCCTGAAGTGGTTTGGGAAGGACGCTAACCGGATTGAGGCGGTTGACATCGAAAGAGCATGTCATGGCTCATGCTCAAAACCACCAAATCTCCCCAGTTCGTCCATCCGTTCAACACTCCCTGCCCTCACTCCTGAGGTGCACCCTCTTGCTCTAGCTTTCGTCTTTTCTTTTATTCTTCTACCTTTGTCTATTTGGTTCTCCGGGAACGTGTTGCTCGCGGGCTTCTTCCTATCTAGACCTACTAGCTACCTTACTTCTCTACCCATCCTCTCTGTCTTGCAACCCGCCGCTCTCGCCGCTGCTGGTCGGTGCACTTTGACGCCCTTTCCCACCACCACGATCCACCCCAGCATACCTCGAATTCAACCTTTACCGTGATTTTTTGCTTCCGTTTTCCCTCCTTTTGCCATGGCTCCACGACGACACAATATCGGTGCTAGTCGCCGCCGAAGGAGAGACGAAGAGGGCGAAGATGAGGGCTCACTAGATGGAGAACTGGAGGACGACTCCCTAAGCGAAGGATCTATTATCAGTCATCCCGATGAGGAGGATGCCGATGGCGAGGGCAGCGATGAGAGTGATGATGAGGCGTCTGTGACCCGGGATGCAGGCAATACTCTCCCTCCCCAGCTCAACGGCCGTATGCCTGCCGGAAGCCAGAAGCTCGGGCGCCGCCATTCTACCTCGCCCGGGAAACGCCACACGGGAACGGTCATGTCAGATACTGAAGCGATGATGAACGGAATGAGACTGTCGGACAAGACAGCTGGGGTGGCCGAAATCCACTTTGACGATTTGAAGGGAGAGCTTGGCCAGCAAACTGGGAGGACTCCGTCGGCGCCTCCGGCAGAGCCAAAACAAGACAGCCTGATGGACAGGAGGCGTCGTGATAATGAGAAGTATACAAAGGAAAAAGAGGAGAACCCAGCATTCGTTCCCACCCGAGGAAGCTTCTTCCTTCACGACAAACGTTCGACCGATACTGCAGCCAACGGTCACAAATCATTTGCTAAGTCCAAGTCGAGACCATACGGTCTCATCGTGGACGGCAATGTGCGCAAGTACGCTTGAGCCTAACTCCTAGCTCTTTCACTTCTGAGACAGACAGAACATTCATGCTAACTGCTTGCAGGAACCAGGTCAAATCAGATGCCAGTGAAAACAAGTGGACGCACGATCTGCATGATACTGTTGCTGGAGATGATGCACCCGCCTCGAAAGTGCCTGCGGCGCCTGCGACTCTCCCAACTTATCCCCCAAAGCCAGTTCCTACAGCTCCTCGATCGTCCCCGCCCAATAGATCATTCTCGAGTACTACAATGATAGGGAACGTGCCTGTCGTGGTCTACCTACCGGGCATGGCTCAACCCATCTCATACCCTAATGTTTCAAAGAAGCAACACACCCGTTTACCACAGCACCGTCCTCCTCTGCGCCGCGATAAACCCGTCCGAATCTCGCTTCCCGGGCAGCCTGCGCGTTATATCTTCCCCGCGACAGAGCGATCCTTCATCTTCATCCCGCGGGCGCTCCGGCCCAATCAACAGGCCTTCCGTGGGCGTCGAAGCGGATTCTTTCCAGGACGACGGCCTAGTATCTATGCAGGTTCCACATACACTCCAAGCGTTAGCATCAGTAGGAGGTCGTCCTTCGGCAAGGCGCCCTCGCAAGAAGGATACCACTCGCCGGCAGCCTCGGTTCTCTCCAGGCAGACGATCGTGGCCACAGACAACGGTAAGCCCGTTGTCCGTTTACCTCCACCTCCAAGACCACCAGCCGGACTACCACCCCCGCCACCCGGCCCTCCTACAGCAGTTCCTCCTCTACAATCACAGCCTCAACCTCCAGTGTTCCGGGAGAGCCGTCCAGCGCCCATACCGATGCACCAACCTCGTCCCCAGAAGGCCGTCTCTGTTGCCGACATTGAGACGCCAGCAAGCTTTCCATACAATCCTCCTCAACCACAGCAGGAGCAGCCATTCCATCATCAGGTCCCGATGCCTGGAAATGGGCCCGTCTATGGCTCAGATGCGCCCGGCTATGCTGCTTCGGCTCACTCGTCGGTGACACCCTTATCCCATATACCCGAGCGTGCAATCCATGCCCAACCCTTCCAGCCATATGGTTTCCAACAGCCACAAGCATTCTATCCCAATTCTTACCCACCTGGCGCCGTTTACTATTCTGTTACCGGGACCGAATTTCCCCCGTACAATGCCGCAGTAGGGCCCGGCACCTCTGTACCTCCCTTCCCTCCGGGGCAACAGGTGCCGTATATGGTGCCCGGTGCGCACACGTCGGGCGAGCAACCGGCTCAACCGGGCACGGTCGCACACGAAGCAGGTGGTACGGTGTATTTCTACGATGCTAACCAAATGTATCCAAACTCCACCTATGGAATGCCGAATGCGCCCGGGGCCGGCGGTGTCATGGGCATGGGCGGCATGATGACGCCCCCTGGTACAACGTACTACTACCCCCAATCTCAAGGCAGTGTTTACTACGGCTCTCAATGAATCGAGGCTTGTGGGTGATGCCCGGCCTCAAGGAATGTCTTCTCTCTGCCTTTATGTTCGGTTTCAAAAAATTCAATTTCTTTCTGTGTTTATTTTTTGATGCTATGTTTACTTTTCCCCCTTCCGCCTTGGTCTACGCCTTATCTTTTCCCTTTAGTCCGCCTTTGTTTCAGTTTCATACTCATTATTGTTGTCCTTCAATCATCCGCCTTTGCTTCGTGTTCACCTTGATCATTGACTTTTTCTTTTCTTTTTTTCTTGTTTGCCTCATGGAAAAGCGGCAAATTTGTTGTTGATCCCAATATGACGACCTCCCATTGCCTCATAGCCTGTGCCTTTCCTTTCTTGTTGAGGTCTAGTGTGGCCGGAGCATCGTGCTCTCCTAGTTCCGTCTCTGATTGTGGTTAGATAAGGATTCCATGCATTACTAGCGATCGTCTTGCTGTGCTGTTCTATTTTTACCCCTGTTTCTTCTCGTCACCTTTTCTTTTCTGCCTACGTTTTCCGTTACATGTTTTCTTTTTCTTGTTTCTTGTGTTGCCGCTTTTTCATGCTTTCTTTTTCCTTAGTTTCCTTGGCTGCCGTCGCTTCCCTGCTGTGCCGTTTAGCTTATGCCTGCCGAAGTCTTCCGCGATGTACGGATACCATCTTCTTCGATATACTCATGACGTTGAAAGGCAGTGGGCTCAGAGCCGGGAGGGGAAAGGGCCGGGACCAAGGGTGCGGTGATGTTCCTACGCACCCTGTCGGCGGCGCCAGGGTTGCTTTTCCGGTGGGCTGTCCACGCGAATACCCGTACGAAGTCTTTAACCACGCTTGTTTTGCATCCTGGTTTCCATGAACGTAATGCGGTGTGCCTCCTCTTCCTCCTTCCCGCCTTTCCCCCTGTCTGTGATGAGCCCTGCGTGTGTGTATGTGTGTGCGTGTGCGTGTGTTTCACTGCGCTCGTTTTGAGATTAGTTGATTGACACGGATGAGGAGGCCGAGTTGTGGGGTGGCGTCCTCTTGTCTACAAAAGCAATAAAAAATACGATCCCAAAAATAGTTTGCAGTTGAAGAGCTGTGTTGTCCGTACCGGTCAAACCAAAACGTAGATAGATAGACTAGACCAGACCTCGGGTTGGGAAGCGAAGGGGCCGGGCATGGGCCTGGACGGTTTCGAAGGTGTGACGTGACGTCAGGCAGCACGTCAAGGAGCGTCAGTTCCCTCGGGCTACGAAATCAAAAGTAGGAGGCCTGGAAAAGAAGCCGTAATAGCCGATCATCTCGTAGGGGAAAATAGCAGAAGTAGATCTTGGGAGGGAGGGAAGGTGTGAATGGATGGATGGATTAACGGCCCAGGCGTAAGCACCCTGATCAGCAAGCAGCATCTGAGGCTGTGGGGGAAAGGATTGTTGGTCGGTGGCATGAGGGGAACATCCATGTCGTGATGAAATCATGGCGCCTGTGCTTTTAGGATTTAGGAGGGTTGGTGACGAGGTGGGAAGGGAAAGGAAGGATGGGAAGGAAGGGAAGGGTTTAGGCACCTACGTAGCCAACAGAGCAATGCCTCATTCTGCAGCAGGGAAGACTCCACCGAGGATGCAAAAGAAGGAGGACTAAGTAAGACTAAAAGTTGCATCTACATGAGAGTACGGGGAAGAAGCATCGCGACCGACGGGCCGGACAAGGTACCGGGTAAGTAACTAAACGCAGTTAACTATGAAAAGTACTCCGTAGTTTGGGAAGTGCTTTACTGCTAACGAACTAACTGTTAGTCCGGAGCAAGTTACCAAAGCTGTTAGCATCCGCCAATGGCCGCGGACCTTCACCGCCTCGGCCGGATGCAGCAGTGAAGCAGCAGCTGACCTCCAGGCAGCCTCTCCCTCTCCCTCTCTCCCTCTCTCTCTCTCTCCCTCTTAATTACCGCTGGGTAGAACTCGTTCGCTCTCTCCTCATCTCTCCTTCCCCCCTCTTCTCCTCATCATCCATCCATCCTCAATAATCCTCCTCTCCCGATCTTCCGTCTCCTCTTTTTTTTCCTTTTCCACTTATTCCTTCTTCTTACCGTCTACCTTACCATCCTCCCACACCCACCCCCCTCATCTACATTATTATCCCACCATTTCCCCCCCTTCCTTCTATTTAGTCTACTAGTTTAAAAACTACACCCCATCTCACCCATCCTTTCTATTCGGGCTTCCTCGTTAATCTTCCAACGGGGACAAACACCACTCTCACCGTTATCTATCACTGGCTTGAAGTACTTCCTACCATCCATCGCCTAGCTTACCGCTCCCGAATTAGCGTCCTTTTTTGCTTATCTCTCGGAATCCCTGCTTAAATCACGCCAGAGGGAAATTTAAGCCAGAGCAACAGGAAGAGGCAATCATCCTTCTGGACACCATGGCTTCTCCTGCGCCCGCAACGGCTCCCGTGGGCCCCAGTTCTCTCATCACCGTCAAAGTGCTCTACAATGAAAATACTCGACGCTTCAAGCTTCCTCTGCGAGAGCTCGGAGCTCGCACGCTTCCCCAGAATGTATGTTCGTTCGTCCCCACTCAAGCTCCGATCGGAGCTACGGGTCCTTTGGGCCCCCCATCAAAAATCATAGCCACCCCCCATCGTTTATTTCCTCAATGCAACTGAGTGAGCTCACGTGTTCACCTCCTTGCTCCTTATGTGTGATGAAAAATTTCTTTTTTATTCCGCGTCGCCTGCGAATCATTTCTGTGCAAGGGGAGGAAAATAATACGGAATGGCAATATCGCAACGATTTCGCAATTCATGCTGACGTCTCTTATCTGTAACAGCTCCGCCAGCTCCTTGGCGTTCCCGAAGATGTTAACGTCATCTTTGAACGTTATTCCGACAGCGCCGGCTGCTATATCCAGCTAGATAGCGAGAACCCTGCTGTCTACAAGCAGCTCTATCGCGCTGCCAAGGCTAAACTGAAGCTGCGGATCAAGGCCACAACGGCTGAGGAGCCTATCTCTCAGCCACAGCTGGCTGCAGACCTCCCCGAACCACAGAACGCGTCAAGGTATAGTTACCTCGAGACTGTCTTGGGTGCTCCTCTCCCTGAGTCTCAAGTTGAAAGTGTTCCTGCTAGTGCGTCCCTATCTGCCTCAGCTCTGCCCGAGGTCGCCAACGGCACCATCCCTGCTGAGTCTCGGTCCGCCCAGTGGTCGGCCCCTGAGACGACTGAGCCTCAGTTCCGTGACTTCGTCTTGGGTCAGGACAGCTTGGATATGCCAGTGGTGTCGCACGCATCGCCCAATGGGGTCTTCTGCATTGACTGCAACCACTGCGGCCGCTCCATCCCGAACGAGCACTATCATTGCAGCATCTGTGACGATGGCGACTACGACTTGTGTCTCCAGTGTGTCGAGGCCGGTGTGGCTTGTCTCGATGATGAACACTGGTTGATTAAGCGTCTTGTCAAGGACGGCCAGGTCACCAACAGCACCACTGAGACGGTTCAGCCCCGGAAGGCTCGTGAGGAGCCTGAGCCAGAAGAGGAAGAAGAAGAGACCTTCGAAGAGTCCGTGCCAGAGCTGGTGTCTGAGACTACTCCAGTCCCTGCTGTTGCTGCCCCCGAACTTCCCGAGAGCACTCAGGAACGCATCTGCAATGATTGCCTGAAGGGTACGTCCTTTCCCTCAACAGGAGGTTGTCACTATTTACTAACTCGAACAGAACTCGATGAAACCAAGATGGTTTCCTGCGCTGACTGCGATGACTATGATATTTGCATCACGTGTCTCCTCCGAGACACACACGGCCATCACCCCGCCCACACCTTCAAGCTGCTTCATGATCGTCAATTCTGCTTGAAGAGTCTGGTGCAGTCCCGCTGCAAGCCTGGACGTCACCACCACCACGCAGCTATCTGCGACGGGTGTGAAAAGGTTGGTTTAAACTATTCTATTTTACTGCCTCTATACTGACCGTTACCTTAGCGTATCATTGGCGTCCGGCACAAGTGCCTGACCTGCCCAGACTGGGATTACTGCTCGGAGTGTCACCAGGAAGCAGCCCAAAACCACCCGGGTCATCGGTTTGCGCCGATTTATGACGCAATCGCCGAGCCCCTGCAAAGCTATGAGGTGCATTACGGTATCTACTGCGATGGCCCTCTGTGCAGGAACAGGCCATGCCCTAGCTTCATCACAGGCACTCGCTACAAGTGCTCTGTGTGTCACGACACGGACTTCTGCGCCAAGTGTGAGGTGCACCCGACCAACACTCACAACCGCACTCATCCCATGGTCATGCTGAAGACACCTGTGCACAACGTCTCTGTTAGTACTGTCCACGAAGACCGTGGAGCCACTTGCACCATGGGCGACCGTGCCCAGAAATCCACTTCCACCCAAGCCAGCGTCCCGGTCGAGCCGGTTCAGGAGACACCCAAGCCGGAAGCAGAGCCTATCCAAGAGCCTGCCCCGGTGGAACAGCCGACTCCCGTTGCACAGCAGCCGGTCCAGGTCGAACAGCCGACATCAGCTGACCCGGCCTCGGGCTATCAAGCCTTCTTCATCCGGGACACTGTGCCGGATGACACCACGCTGCCACCCAACACCGCCTTTGAGCAGACCTGGACCCTCTTCAACCCCGGCCCATTGAGCTGGCCTGCCGGCACGGATGTGCGGTTCGTCGGAGGCGATTCGATGTTCAACGTGAATACCAGCCACCCATTGAGCATGGATGCCATCTCGGCTGCCATGGAGAGCAACAAGCTCTCGGAGCCGCTTGAGCCAGGTCACAGTGCGGACTTTACCGTGACACTCAGGACCCCGAGCCGTCAGGGCAGTGCCATCTCGTACTGGCGGCTGAAGCTGCCCAGCGGCATGCCTTTTGGTCACCGGCTGTGGTGTGACGTGCGGGTGCGTGATGACGTTCCACCGCCCGCTGTGAATGCACCAGAACCGGAGATGGAGAAGACCGTCGAGCCTCAGCCGGAGGCCCAGTTGGAGCCTGCAGGAAGCCAGATGATCTTCCCCAAGCTGGCCAAGGAGTCTCCGGAGACCAGCACACACGAGGCGGCCACCACGGCCCCCAGCGCCCCGTCGGTGACGAACGCATCAGAGCAGGATGTGTTTGATGACATGGAGAGTCTGACACTGGGCGAGGACGAGACAGATGCGGGTATGCTGACGGACGAGGAGTACGACATCTTGGACGCCAGTGACCAGGAATATCTGGAGGCCAAGTCTCAGCGCTAAGCGAAGACGGCGGCCATGAGTTACGGATTTCTTGGACGGGGAAACAAAGGAGTTCTTTTTCTATCGGACAGGATGAAATAATTTGCGTGTGATTTTTAATACTTGCTAACTTAGCTTGATTTGCGTGTGGGCGAAGGAAAACCCTGGGAAGGATGAATTGGCTGTAAGCTCGGCATTAGGCTTGAATGTATGCTCTCATTTCCTAACTTCACTTCATTTACTTCCTTCCACCTCGTACTAAGAGCTGGACCGTAACTCCGACCCCGACCCATGGTTGATCAGCGCGACGATCTTCACTGGCGTCTCTGCTGGACTGGCTGGATGGTCCACAGTGAATGATGGCCGGCTGCTGGTTCGCCAATGACAGGTTTGTTTAAAGTCAATCCCCGCATTTTCCAATATGTGGTGGTGAGGATGATGCTACAGAGTACAGAGTATCTACTTGGTCGGTTCATTCAACCTCGGCCCCCCCGCTTTATTTTTTTCCATTCTCCTCCCTAGTACTTCCCCCCCTCCCTTGTTTGCTTTTTCGTCGTCCTTTTTGCTTTTTCTCCCCCACTACATGTCGACTCATCAACAGGCTGATCACGATGAAAAACTACATCAACCTGGCGATTATCGCCGTCCTGTTCGCCTCGCTGTATGGACCAGTGACCCGCGAGCTTAAAGTGCTGGGGGCATTCCGTTCAGCCAGCGAGACGAGCAGCTCCCAGAGTAACCCTGTCCACCCAATTGCTGATACCATCCAATGCGAGGACCTGCATTACCACCATTCGTCTGGTCAGCTCTTTACAGCCTGCGAGGACTCGATTGTGCCCCGGTTCCGCTGGTTTCCACCCTTGCTCAACTTTGATGGCCCTGCGGACACAACTGGGTCTATCCATGTGATTGATCCCCAGGTAGGTGTTTTTGTGTAACTCATTTCAGCTACCAAAGACTAATCCAACTTTACAGACACTGAAATCGACCCGTCTCACATTTGAGAACTTTTCCGGCCCCTTCGTCACCCACGGCATCGATGTTACTGAGGATCCGGAGCGCGCAGACGCCGTCTACATCTTCGCCGTGAACCATCTCGCAAACCCGGACTATCACCCCGGCCTCAAGGACATTCCCAAGGCCCGCTCGCAGGTCGAGCTCTTCCACCATGTCCTGCACTCCGGCACCGTCCGGCATGTCCGCTCAATCCGTCATCCGCTCGTAGCCACCCCCAACGACATCTACGCCGAAAGTCCTTATTCATTCTACGTCACTAACGACCACCGCTACCGCGACGGGGCTCTCCGCGCGGTCGAGAACATACTCCCCGCCGCCAAATGGTCCACTGTCATCCACGTCCAAGTCGACAGTCTCGCGGCGGTCCCAGCTGACACGGAACGCAAGGCAACTGTGGCCTTCGAGCACATCTGGAACGCCAACGGTCTCGGACATGGCTCGTCGCGCGAGGAAGTGCTTCTCACCAGCGCCGTGGGCGGCTACATGTGGCGTATGCGGCCGCAGGATGACCACACGCTGTCGGCTGTGGATGAGTTCGCCTTTGACAGCACCATTGACAATCCCACTTACTACCAGGACCCGTACGCAACGGCCACAGACGACGCCAGCGGATATGTCCAGGCTGGACTACTTCGCGGCGTGGACCTGGACAAGACGCGCGCTGATCCTAAAGGCAAGGACGGCGCGATGGTGTGGTACACGCGGCGCAAGGCTGGTACTTCGCCCGCGGAATGGGAGACGCGGCTGCTGTTTGAGGACGACGGATCACGCATCCGGAGTGCCAGCGCGGCGGTGCTGGTTCCGTTGCCAGATGAGCAGCAGCAGCAGCAGCAGCAGCAGCAGAAGAAGGCGAGATTATTCGTGACAGGGTTCGTTTCAGAGGGTATGATGCGGTGGATGTGACCCTGTAATGTAGCTGTCAATCAATCAGTGATTGATGATAATCATAGCCTACATCCACACCATCATCATAATCCACACCCTCTATATATAATAAGGTCTACCCTAGTAGGCTACTACCTCGAAGCAGAATACTCCTCCAACGCTCTCACCACCTCCCTCACCCCAAACACCTCCGCAAACTCTCCATCCAAACTCGCAACCGACACCTGATGCACCGTCTCGGCATCCCATCCCCCCTTGGCAAACGTCGCAGTCGCATCACTAACCAGAATAATCCGACCTTTATCCACCTCGTCATCTTGCTTCCCTATCACCTCATTCCCTTCCACACCCTTAACCACCTTTATTCTATCCACAACCCCCAAATTCGCCGCCATCCGCACCGTCGTCGACACACAATGATCCGTCGTCAACCCTGCCACAATCAACTGCCTGATCCCCTTCTCGCGGAGATATTCTTCCAGTTCGGTGCCAATGAAGGATGAATTGACATGTTTCCAGATCTGTTTCTCGGTGGAAAGTGGGGTGCAGATCGGGAGGGGGTCGATGCCTTGCTCGCCCGTGGGAGTGGTGTAGGTTGGGTGTAGGGGGGAGGTGGGTGTTGTGGAGGAGTGGAAGATGTGGATTATTTCGTGGTGATGAGATGAATCATGTGTGGTGAGGGTGTTGCGGAAGGTGGTGAGGAGAGATTGGATGTTGGCTTCGTAGTTGGGGTTGGAGCGAGATGGACCCCAGTGGGTTGGGTGGGTGAAGCCGTTTTGGTTGTCGATTAGGAGGAGGGCGGTGGGGTGGGTGAATGTTAATTGGGACATTGTTGTTGTTGTGGTGGTGGTGGTGGTTATATAAGAGTTGTGTGGGAGTAGTATGGTCGAGGGTGACGGAGCTATACAGTAGCTTATTATATAGTAGTAGTGACATAGACTACTAAGTAGTAGGGTACTAGTATTACTAGTGAGATGGTGAGTCATGGACTACTAACTAGTAGTAAATTAATTGTCAACTGAACTGTGACCGTGAGTCACTATCTTGATTGTATAATGTAATAATTATATACTAGATACTAGTAACATATTAAGTGTCAAGTTTTAAATGATTGTTGAACCTCCAATGTTGCTGGTAAACCCTCCGAGAAATCATCTGTCCGGCATCGGACTTGACACAACATCTATTTACTAACAATGACAGTAAGTATCACTCTGCTAACAATTGCATATACTATAGGAGATTTATTCATTCAGCTCGATTATATAGAACTAGCAAGATCTACTAATATCGGTCCCCGCGGGGAGCCGAGGCAGTTCATTTATGCCTGAGGCACTCACACCAATCTCCCCGGAATCTCGTCGGATCTTCATTTCATCTCCAATTCTTCCTTTTGACACCACTCTCTCTATAACCCTACCCAGAATACCACCCATCAATTGGACCATTCAGTCCAATCCAATTTACAGCGCAATGCCATCCGCGCTGCACTCTCCGCGGGTCCTCCTCAATTGCCCGCATCCCCAACTCACCACCACAACCATCGCATCTCGCCTCATCCACCACCAACATCATCACCACAACCACACCCTCCTCTCAACACGCTCCTACGCCTCACACTCCAAATCCAACACCAACACCAAATCCCACACGCGCCCCTCCTCCGCCGCAGAACCCACCACCACCACACCATCAACATCAACCTCCACAACAATTCTCACCACCCTAAACCCACCCCCCAGCACCCGACCCGCCTCCCTCGCCCTCCCACCCACCCCGGACCCAAACACTCCTCTCCCCCCATCCGACAAACTAAAACGCTACATCACCATCGGCCGCGCATACCTCACCTTCTACAAAACGGGGCTAAAAAACGTCTACCACAACTACCGCGCCGCGATCCCCCTCCGGCGGACTTTGAACCTCTCACCCTATATCCCGAGCTCGATACCACCACCGTCACCACCAGCTACAAAAGATGATGCAACTCCATTCTACAAGACTTTACAGACGAAAGACCTCCACCGCTCACACTTCCAACTCCTCCGGCGCTCCGCGCACGACATCCGCCGCATGATCCCCTTCTCGCTCATCCTGATAATCTGCGGAGAACTCACGCCCCTGGCTGTGCTCGCTCTGGGGAATGCGATTACGCCGCTGACGTGTCGGATTCCGCGACAGCTGGAGAAAGAGCGGGAGAAGAGGGCGCGGGCGAAGCGGGAGGCGTTGGTGGTTGGGACGGGGTCGGTGACGCCGCCTGGGGTAGGGTCTGCGGAGGAGATGGGGGTGTTGAAGCGGATGGTGAGTAGGGAGTGGATTGAGGGTGCGGGGCCCGGGGAGGTGATGCGGGCTTGTGCGGTGTTGGGGTTGGCGAGGTCGTATGAGAGACCGGGGTGGTTGGTCGGGGTGGTGTATCGGGGGAGGTTGAGACGGTATGCGGAGTATTTGGCGTGTGATGATGAGTTGATTCGGAGGGGTGGGGGCGTGGCTGGGATGGAGGCGGAGGAGGTGCGCATTGCGGTGGAGGAGAGGGGTGGTGTGGGTGTTGGTGTTGGGGGGGTCAGGGAGGGTTGGGAGGCTGAGAGGGAGGAGAGGAGGTGGTTGGAGAGGTGGATTGCTGGGAATTAGACTTAGATGGGTTGTTCTATAGGGAGGGGTTGATGTAATTCTCCTTGTCTCTCTGCTGTATACTACTCACTGCTATGTGTATCATATGGATAGATGGGGTGGGTGGATTGTGGATATATCTGCATGCATATATGTACATTAGTCAATCAAGACAGTATCGATCATTTTTGACTCGTCATCTTGCCACAGGGCTAACTGGGCTTGCCGGCATATCACCGATAAATCCCGATCAGTACTTACTGATATCCTAGATAGCATAACATATAAAAGAGCTAATATACACTGTACAGGTCACCTCCGATCAAGTCCACAGAATCCTCCCCGACGCCATCCATCCATCCCATCCATTCATCGTGACTCGTCACGCCATTCTGATTCCTCCCCAATCCAGCAAGTCCCACAAGGTATCATCGTATCATATATAGCGAAAATGCTCAACATACTCAAATCACATTCAAGTCAGACAGCCACACACTAAAACGTAGAAAGCCACCCAAAGAGATGAAATAAAAAAAAGGGGTAATATAATATAGGTATCATCACGTCCGTTTCCCTCGGGCTGCTGTAGTCTGTCCTTGCGCAGCATTGCGGACCTGCTTTGCCCATCGTAAGCCACAACTGTTGCAGAGGTCGCGGTTGCCGCTGGGTCCGCGTCGCCATTCTGGCGTGCTCTTCGTTCGACACATCGCGCAGCTCTTCTCCACTATGATTGTG